GGACGGCAGGGGGGCGCCCGAGAGAAAGCTGCACTGTACACACTGAGGATGAGGTGGGGGACGGCAGGGGGGCGCCCGAGAGAAAGCTGCACTGTACACACTGAGGATGAGGTGGGGGACGGCAGGGGGGCGCCCGAGTGAGAGCTGCACTGTACACACTGAGGATGAGGTGGGGGACGCCAGGGGGGCGCCCGAGTGAACCCCGAATCGTGCTCCTGACAAGCTGAGCCATTTGTTGAATTTTTTTTTCTACTTCCCAGTAGTGGCATTATATCATTTAGTCCAATTTTGGAAGTAATTATTTAAATTGCTTGTTTGTGTGCATAAGGCTTCCCTTCTTAGACCAGGTGGCTGTGCAGTAACATTCATTAATTCATTAATGAAACCACAGCACTTAGAAATATAGCTCAGATTTCCTTCTGTCTCTTCCAGGGAGGAGGCTGAGAGGAAAAGCTTTCTACAATGTCAACGGCAAGGTCTACTGTGAAGAAGACTTCCTGGTGAGTTTGAGCCCTTGCTTTCTGTGTGGATGGGTTAGACAAAGGGACTGTATTCTCAGACGCTTATCTGCTCGCTGGCTTCTTTGGTCCAGTTTGTCATCTGAGAATGAAAACCTGGAGGTTCTCTGGTGGTCTCCTTATAAGAGAAATCTGTCTTATGGAGTATAGCTGTAGCGTCTTGGTGCAGGTGCATGTTCTCATGGTTCTGCCTGGTTGTATTTGATACTTGGCAACCCTGGATTAGATCAGCACCGACCATATGTTGCTTAACTAAGGGCCTTCACAAAGTCCATTGTGTAAGCATGTGTGCTGGGAAATGGGTCAACAGATTACATACATATGGTAGCGATTGCTGCACTTTTAGGTCTAAGATATTTCCAAAGAGGAAAATATGTGGGTTATCTTATGGATGCTGTGATCTTCAGGGCAGTAATCATGGCTTCATTAGGGCCCTATGAAATCCGTTTTGTTTTTTCCCTAAATTCAGTTTTTTCCATTTTTATTCTTCTGAATTCCATGTTTTACGTTATATTCATTCACCTAAAAAGTGTCTAATTATGGAGTGGATGGGGGAAAAAGAATAATGCAATAGGAAAAAAATCTCACATTTAATGCTGTTATTCAACACAGTGCTGGGTTCAGCAGAACATTTACTGCTTTGGTAAAACATTTACCTGTAAACAACAAAAAACATTCATTTTTCATGCAAAAGAAAGAAAATTATGTATTTCACATTAGCTTTGTCTGTGACCACTGCCCAGACATCAACACCCAGTTTGTTGTTGTGCAGGGAGCCTATTACTGTTTGGGCAAAGGTTGAGTAGTTGCATCGCTCCATGGAAAATTACATCCACTAGAAAGTACTGGCCTTCAAAACCTGCATAAATAAGAGAAATAAGAAACTTTTAGTTAACTTTATTTTAATTATCCATTGTTATTCTGATGCTAATCATCAGTAATCACCTAACAATTAGTCATTCAGAAACGGTTCATTTTTACAACAGATAAAATAAAGAAATATGCACATTTTTACTTATTGGCATAACTAACAAACGCATTGCAATATTGTAATGCATGTAGTTTGCATTACATTCTTATAAGTATAATGTATTTTAATTTACTGGTGTGAATGCGGTCTACTTAATTCACTCACCAATGACGATGTTCACAACGCTGCAGTCTCTTGCATCGGTAGTTTCGTCGACGAATGATGTTTTTTTTTCCTTGAAGCTTCTGTCGCCCAGCCTCCATATTCTGCTCGAACACACGGGGGAACTGGATTTGACGGAGGCTACTCTCGTGTTCTGGCAGCGCTCCTCCACGTTTACAGTGCTCGACCAAAAACGGACGTAGCTTTTTATTTTTTTCTAGTAAACTCGCGTCTTGTTTCAGCTGTTTGTTTGCATGACCAAGACTTGGCTGGAGTGAGTGACTCGCTCTAGTTTGCTTCTTGTCTCTGTTTCTGAAGTGAGTCTTTGACTGTAAGTGGTCGTCAAATGTGTTTTTGTGGGTCCAGTCTATCGTGTGCTGGCAAAACTTACAAAAGACTTGTTCTCCCGATTCATAAAAATCGTTTGGGTTTTGTTCTGCTCTAAACTTAGCACTGAGTCAAATTTTGTAATTTTTTTGAGGACTTCGGTGTTCCAGCGAGTCGCTTCACCAGAACTTTCTTCCCTCCTGTATTTGTGCGTTTGTGTGTGAAAAGCGGAGTTCCGCCTCAATAGGTGATGCGTACAGGGGGCTGCAGTGGGCAAAATTTATTAGAAACCATTGCTTTGCTTTGCCCACACACCGATATCAGCGAATTATACGACATTCCGCGTTTTACAGCGGATTCCATTTTATTTATTGAATTCTGCGATTCTGTCCGCGTTTTCCGCATCGCAGAAATCATAGGGCCCTAATTTATGTCAGGGTTTGTAGTTAGGATGCGGACAGATGGTTCAGGTGCAGTGGGGCTGGATGTGACAAGTATGTGACCAGTGCCTCCTCCACCACCACCTCGAGGTCATGGGAAGGTTGTGACCCCAGAGTATCGCTCTGCAGATGGTCTTCCTGCAGGACTGATTATGGGGTATCAGCCCAGATGGACAGTCTCCTTAGAAATGCATTGAACACGTGCCTTTATATGCTGGTTGTCCTAATGGTCATTATGGTAAGAGGTAGTAGGGCCCTTTGCGTTTGTGGGGAAAGGGCAAGGAGAGAACAGCAGCGTGCAAACATGGGTCAGAGCAAGCCTGATCCATTTGAAGGAGATTGACCACGTCCTTTTGGGACACTCATCATCGCATCATCATTTAACTGTAATGCTTTTTATATTTCCGTAGGTCGCTAATATGGTGGCATGTCTTCTTCCAGAGCTTTGAAAATATCTTGCATTTGTAAACGTGACGTAGCTGAGTGTTCAGTGCCTCTGTCTGCCTTGCAGTACTCCGGCTTCCAGCAGACGGCTGATAAGTGCTTCGTTTGCGGACATCTCATCATGGAGATGGTAAGGGAACGGCTGAGAGTTACTGCATGCTCCATGCTCGCTCTGACCTTCTCACCCGATGGCGGGTGCAGAATAACCATTATGTTGTTATGTCATTTAGTAACTCAACTCTTATTTTAAACCAGTTTAAACCAAAGCATTCCAGGTTAACTTTTTTTTAATCCAATAGCAGAACAGAACCATTAAGTCAAGCTCCAGTATCCACTGTGTGGGTGTGCACTATTTCTCTTCAATCGATCCATTGGTGGTGCTTTGTTTTTAAGGCCCCCCCCCCCCCCCCCCCCCCATCTGCCTGCAGATCCTCCAGGCTCTCGGCAAGTCTTACCACCCAGCTTGCTTCCGCTGCGTCATCTGCAACGAGGCCCTAGACGGGGTTCCCTTTACAGTGGATGTGGAGAACAACATCTACTGCGTGAAGGACTACCACACGTAAGCCCGTAGATCATCCCATCTTACCTTCTGTAGTCCAGGATGGGTTATCAAGGACCTTCTGATATTTGCCGCCAGGGCTGCCATGATTAGTCAACATAGTCGATGACGTCGATGCTGGAGACGCTGGTAAATCGCCTTTATGATTTCTAAAACGCTTCCATTGATTACAACAGTTTTTCTTTATGATCACTACGTAGTTCAAATTATCACAAAACAAAAAGGCGGTTTGTACACTGCAGAATTCCGTGTCGTGCCATAGCGACTGGCGCACCATGGCGTAGCACCTGAAGAGGACAGGCGCACGGGTGCGATTCTGGGTGATGGATCGCCAGAGGAGGCAAAACCACCTTGAATGTTGTTTATTCATGTTTATTAAATTCCCGTCAGTATGGAGAGCTTTTTAATATCTTTTGTCCTAATAGCTGCTAAATACACCTTATTAAAGCCACAAAGCTGCCTCCCTGCTACATTAGAATCTCCATTGAATAAGTGTTTGAGAAAACATTCAGTCTAGAATCTGGGTTTATTATATATTGCTTGACGGTGCCAGTGTGTGTTTGTGCGCATTGGGCTTGTTGGGACCCGTGTTATTATCGGAAGCTAAAAACGAAACAAGAACAGACACTAAATAAAAGACAATAATTTGTGAACTGAAATAAAAATAAAAACGATATTTACTAAAAACTGCAAAAAGTACCGCCATGCCTCTGACCTAGTTTAACCACAGTATCCTCTTTCAAAAAACGTGACTGCTCAGCTGAACACATCTACATCGCCACTTCACTGCTTATTGCTTAATTTACCAAAACACTAGCAGGTGGCTCCCCGCTAACCAAATTCATTAAGCTTTAGGAAACGCCAAATTTATACAGATTACTGCCTTTTTGGCATCTCAGTATTTCAGACATACTGCTTATCTGCTTCTCGAATTGTGGGCATAAGCAAGGTCCATACAGTGCTGAAAGATCGGAGTGCATCATCCAAAGCCCTGCAACGACGTGCATTTTGTTATCAAAATAAAATTAAACAGTAAATTTGATTTTTTTAGAGGAAGATTAATCCTTTTGATGAATTGACCAATAGTTTCAACAGTCTACAGATTAATCCATAGAAAAGTGTTTAGTGGCAGCCCGGTTTACACGCGCAGTACTGAACACTCCCTGTTTGGTCTTTGTTGGCATTTTCTGAACAAACGTACTATTGTGGTGATGTGGAGGTCCACAGTCCATGCACACATCCCTGTCATATCTTACTGATGCATTAAGGTTTGTTTGTCGCACCACAATTAAATTCTTTGGTTTTTCCACCTGGTTACATGGCTTGTCAGCAAACGTGTGTTTTCAGAGGTAAACTTGTCATCCTCGAATGTGTTAAGTTAGATCCTCCTCCCTTCAGTGAGCACATACAGATGGGGGCTGACTTTGCTTTTCTCTTCCAGGGTTTTTGCTCCCAAATGCGCCTCCTGCAAGCTGCCCATCCTTCCTGCCCAGGTAACGCAGCATCTTGTGAGCAGAGTCAGGCCATAATGAGTTGAAGTTGTGCATGAACACACATCCATCTTTTAAAAAGTCGGGCTTCTGTATCCGGGGGCAGTTCTAGGATTTGACCCTTAGGGGGGGCTCAGTCTCCAGGAAGTATGGTATGAAATCACAAAACGGACAAGCGGGTGCAGAAAATGAATAAATGGATAGATTTAAAATAATAGTTTTTCTAGGCAGCTAAGACAGAAAAGCAGAATGGCTGAGGCTTCCCTAAATAGGATCTAGAATCTTCTGTTCTCTGTATTAATCTGTGTCTGTCTGTGTCTTCTGCCAGGGCTCTGAAGAGACCATCAGGGTTGTGTCTATGGAGCAGGATTACCACGTGGAATGTTATCACTGTGAGGTGGGTCCCTCTGGTGTGTGTGTGTGTGTGTGAGAGTGTGTGTGTGTGTGTGTGAGAGCGTTCCTGTAAAGGCCAGCCAGACAGACTGCCACGAAAGCATTACTGCATTCCACAGCTACTCGGAAACCGCCCCCCCCCGGCCACCCGACAAGCTGACCAAAACTGGGTAAAACGACCAACAATAAAATCGCTAAAGATCTGCCCCCCCCCCCCCCAACAGCAGTGGCCTGATTTGAAAGGTTATAAGGTTATTTCCTGGCTTAGTTCCTAAGTGATTATTATTAATCCTATCTGGGAAAAATCTAATACTATGCTTATAATCTAGATAACAGATTTACAGTTAATCAAACCATGATAAGGTCAACTGAGCTGTTTGGTAGAAACCTAGACACCTGGTAAACACCACACTCTGCTGGTTATTGTCTGTGTGTTTATCTGGTGGTCCTCATTATTATCTGCCCCCACCTCCCACATGGTGTTTGGTGGTTGCTTTTGTATAACGAGCTCATTTAATGGTTTTCACCACCGTTGCTTCCAACAAAGACATGGAGGGTTCTGGTTCCGCCCTCTTAGGGACGTGTTTGCAGGGGTGGATAAGCCAGCTGATAGCACCTGCCTTGGTTCCAGTGAGGTTCCAGCTAGTTGTTATACCAACACAGCCCACAGTACTCCACCTACTGGCAGGGAGCTTGCAGAATAATTTTTCCTGTATGAGGGGCTCTGCAATCCCCAGTGTTTCTGCAGGGTCGTCATCAGACGGCAGCGTTCGTACACTGGGGCGTGCATCTCGTGACGGAGTGTTTACGCACTGTGCCGTGCGCCCCGGGCAATATCTGGCCCATTGTTAGCTTAGCCGCTGTCACACGCCGCATTCGTCACGCCAGCTAACGGTCGTGCCCGCTGGAAACAAAAGGCAGACCCTGACTCACCGTGAGCCCAGATGAACCTTAAACAGTCATCAAAAGCGAATGAAAGAAAATAAAGTTTCTCCTAATTAGGAAGGGGGAGGGAAACAGAGGTTACCACACATGATTTTTCTGTGCTCGTTAAAAACGTAGCCAAGCGTGAGTCACACACCGAGGGGTGCCGGATCATTCTGCTGTCTCAGCTGGCGCCCTTTAGACTGTTCTGGCTCCGGTTGCTTCTCTCATTAACCGCGAGCTCCCCGTCCCCCCATCCCTCGCCCGGCGTGTGGCCGCAGTGACGAGCCACGAGGCAGCAGCAGTGTGGCTCAGCGTCTCCATCACCGGCCTTAAATGAACTTCAGGTGGCTGCATTTAACCCCTGAATGTAAACTGCAGGGCCAGGCCCCTCCCCTCATCTCACTCATCTGGGGGTGGGGGTGGGGGGGGGCTCACCACCTGTGATCAGCAGGCTGCTAGTTTGAGCCCTGGCTTAGAAAGTCTCATGCCCCTTGGACCATTAAGCAAAGCCCTTAACCCCCTGAAATGCTCCAGGGCTGCCTCATGGCCTAACCCCAAGCTTAGCTTTTTATGTTACCAAAAGTGGAATAATACAAATATGCAGGAAAGGCTGCAAAAAGAACCATTCTAGTGTAGCTGTACTTGTGCAGATGGCAAATAAGGCATCATTTCATTTCATCATTTCATTTCATCATTTCATTTCATCATTTCATGTCATGTCTCATTTACGCAGGACTGCGGACTTCAGCTGAATGATGAGGAGGGGCACCGTTGTTTCCCCCTGGACGGTCACCTGCTCTGCCACAGCTGCCACCTGCGCAGGCTCAAGCCGCAAGTGCCCCAGCATCTGCCCCAAGGGTACCCCATGCACGTCACCGAGCTGTGAAGCCCCTAGCGTGGCACTTAAGAGTGAGACTGGACACCAAAATGGGGGAGGGGGGCAGGAAGGAGGCAGGAGCCTGAGACGGGCCAGACACTGTGGGGGAACGGGCACATCAGCCCCAGCGGGGCAAAAAGCAGGACCCGGTGTCACAACAAGGGCACCTCCTGTCACTCAAATGTCCCCAGCCAGCTCCGCGTGAGGTCATCAAAGTGTCAAAGACCGTGATAGGTCAAGGCCACTATGCTGGCCCCGCCCTCGGTTGTGTTATGATTTGACCTGCCCTTGCCCTTTAACCCTTTGCATTCCAGGGCCAAAGTGAAAATGATTTTGTGACCCCCTCCCCCCTCAATCCTCCACGACTGAAGATGCAGCCTGAGGAGTGCCAGCTCTCCTGCGGGGGGGTGTCTGATCCTCTGGTCCGGCCCCTCACTAGGAATTTTGCACTTAAGCTGGCTGCCCTGTGACTGGCTCTCCCCTGTGCCATGTGACACACCGTTAGAGGACATGTTGGTGAGGCTAGCTGCCACTTGCCTGGCCGTTTGGCAATTTTTAACATAATATAATCTTAAAAGATCTATGAGCAGTCATTAATTATAATATTCATAATGATTTAGATGTACATAGGCTGTACAAATTTCTTTTTATAAAATTATATATATTGAATAAGCATAAGAATTTAAAATAGTATTTTTTTTATTTTTATTTTTTATTTGCCCATTGTCCAATGGAGTTCAAGGCTTGGTATTTGACACACAGTCTTAAGATATTATTGGTCCATTGCCCCCTTTTTTAAGTGGGTGCGGGGGGGGCACATTCAAGAATCTCCCGTTATTATTGGTGTCCAGGTGTGGTTCGCAGACCGTTAGAACCTCCATATTGTTCAGACACTGGTTTTTTGTAGCTGAAAACTGTGTTTAAAAAAAAAAAAAAAAAAAGTGCTGTACAGATGCCTTCATCTTTACTTAAACACGATGCCTTCAAGGCGAACACTGCGCGGTAAAGTCATTTACAAGAGTCACCAAGAAACTGCTGACATTTTTAAATGGGGGCGGGGTAGTATTACGGGTATGGCGCCAGGGTGCAGGTATGAGGGGTGGGGGGGAGGTGCTGGTAGTGTTTTACGGATGGGGGTTACTCCGCACTGCGGAGCAGGGAACCCCAGCGTTCAATGTGCATGTAGCTATTGGCCATCCCTGCATCGCCCCGCCCCCCCGCCGCTGTAGGACGAATAGCAGCTGCCCAGCGAGGGCCAATCAGAAAGTGCGCATTCGTGTGCACACATTAGTACTACTGAGTATGAAAAGCACCGTGTGAACCAGAACAAGAAAAAGGCAGGATGTGTATTAAGTGTTCTCTGCTCCAGGAATTTTTTTTTTCTGGAACCGGTAATATATTTTGACGGAAAAGAAAGTCTTCAACCAGAAAGAAAAGAAGAAAAATCACATTTAAATGCTTTGAAATGCTTCTGGTACGTTACAGACCCACCGAGGTGCAGCTATGACTCATACTGTTACTCTTGACATTTTCAGCACAGGTGAAAGCACATCACGTCTTAAAACTTTAATGCTGAAGAATAACTTTGAAACTGTAGATTCTGTCAAACGATGTCATAGATGGCTGGGGAAAATAACAGGACCAGAAAAACCACAGTATGTCTTTCAGTTTGGGAATCATGTGCGTTACGCTTGGAACCCCTGTTGTGTTCCATACACGTAGCTTATCTGTACAAAATCGTAGTGTTTGTCTTCGATCACAAATGTAAACGCGTCACGATTCCTCCTCGGCCAGTTCGTGTCAGACATCAGCATCGTTCAGTGTTCGATTGTGTAGCTGGTTCGTCGAGGAACAGAAATGCAATGTGTAGATTTTATTTATCTAAATAAATTTCTAAAGCTATTTAATGTCTTAAAGGTCAAAAGTGTCATTTAACCTTAGATGTTATAACCTGCTTTTTTCCCCCAATAAACTGGTTTTCTAGTTAAATGGAGTGCTTTTCTTGTCTAGTGTATGAGACGTTTTGGATGAGTTGAATTAGAAATGACCCTGTTTCTTCTATCCTTAATCCACGTTCATTTTCTCTGTTACTCTCCTTTGTCCATTTTAAACGTTTGCCGTGTTTGTGGTCGGACGTCTCATACGGTGATTCCCCTTCGGCCCTAAGGATTACAGCAATTATCCTGGAATGGTACCCAGCAGACATCAGCCTTGCCTTGGTATGCCAGGTAATTGCAGCATTGGCACGCAAGTGGACGAAAGGCTGAGTGGCTGCCGCCTTATTGTGACACCGTCTCGTTTCCCACGTTGGTGACTGATGACCACATGGACTCAAGACGCAGAACGTGGCAGAACCTGAATTATGTTTTACGGTTCTGGGGTCTTCAGTGTGACTTCAGTGTATCATCATCATCATAATTATCTGGATCAGTAAAGCCATTTAAATGACTGTGTGTGTGTGTGTTACTGCGTTCACCTGGCTTCACTTCAGGAAGATCCAAATCTCAACGCGTTGAAGCCTCTGAAGGCCTCACTTCCCCAGTGCCCTGCTTTGTGTGGATATTTTCCAGTAAACCGTGATTTATACACCAAAATCTGTGCAAGGTCCCCTTTCCTCCCATGTTTTTTGTTGTCTGCCTGTAATAAGATTTGATTAATACTATAAGGCTTATCAAATGAATCACATGGACTGTCTGCTCAGGTTCATGTGAAGATGGGGACCCTCTAACCGGCGTCCTGCAAACAAGCCGCCTTAAACCATTTACGGGTGGATTTGCGGATTACCCATCTAATTGGCTAGAGGTGGGGGGGGTCCCAAATTTGAAAGCGGTAATAGATTGTGGAGCGCTGAAGGCTTGTCTGGTTATGCAAAACTATCTGTTCACGGGGCCTTGACTTGGGTAACATGTTTATATGTGATTTTTATCAAAAAAAAAAAGCCAAATAATTAGGTTTTCTTAGGACCGTTCTCCCGTATCTCAAAGCGCTGTGAGACTTGCATGCTGAAGGATAGAAATTTACCCCAAAATACAACATAAACATTTTCGTAATTAACCCAGACAGATGCTGTCAGTAATTAACGTAAAGAAACAGCTATCCGAGACAATATCTGTAATTAAACGTGAGAGATAAGGAGCTATCAGAGTTGGACAGAGTGTTGCTTCTTCTATTTCCAGTGAGAGTCTTTCTGGTGTACTCGGTTGGAATGCAACCATTGCTTATTTTAAGAAGGGAACTCGAGTCGGTAGGGAATTCACTGATCATTAGGAGGCTCTTATGTCAACATTTTAAATTGCATCCATTCAGTGAGTTAAAATTCTAGGAACACTGCGATCATATTAAATTGGCATGAGATCAACAAAGAGTTTTAATCTTTTCGTGGGAGATGGCTAATGATGTCCATTTCTGTAGCTGGATATTTCTGGGCTTACCTTTCATTAGCTATATTTGTTTCATGGAACTGTGTGTTTTGAAAAATTCAAACTAAAACTTACCATGAAAATTAATGCTATTTAATGGACGAACTCCAAAAAATTATGACCTTAAACTTTATTTTCTCAGTGGACTAAACTGTGATAATATGGTAACACTGAGTTCAGGTTTATAGTCATACTGTTGTCATTCCTTCCATCTGTCCATCCTTCCATCTGTCCATCCAGCCATCTGTCCGTCCCACCATCTCCCATGGCAGTGTGTCTAATGCAGGATTGTTGTGAACCAGGAAGCACAAAGAAGAAGGCAGAGTACAACCTGAATGAGATGCCTAATTATTATAGATCATACTGGCAGAAATCTGCAGTGTGTTGGGAACAGGAAGTGGCACGGTGGGTCGATGGTTAGTACTGTTGCCTCAAACCTCTGGGATCAGGGTTTGAGTCCTTGCCCTGGCTCCATGTCTGTGGAACTTGCATGTTCTCCCCTATGTCATCATGGGGTTTCCTCTGAGAACTCTTTGACCTCCCAAGTCCAAAAGCACACAATGGTGATTTGCAGTTATCAAAATCGGCGGCATGGATGTATGGGTTGGTGCCCCATCCTGGATTATTCCCTGTCTTGTACCTATAGCATCCAAGATAGGTTCTGCAACCCTGAATAGGAGAAGTGTGTCGAGAAAATGGATGGATGGAGCAGGAAAGCAGAAGTGTGTGTGGAGGGAGCATAAGCAGGTCCTCAGACTGTTTTTTTGATGTATGGACAACAGCTGGGCCTTTTCCGTGTTGAGTTCTGGGGTTGGTTCTGTTGGTTCTCAATTAGCAGCAGTTAGTCTGTTCCCTTTGCTGCAAACATCTCTAATATGTGAGGCAGAGACACCAAGAACCCGATGCTGTGTCCACCCAAGACCTGGGTTGTCAACTTTGCTCAGTTTGCCAGAGTGAGATTTTCAATTTGAGACAAGTCTGCACACGCATTTACATGTATGTAAGATTTCTATCATCTTACCTACTCTGTAGGGTTTACAAACGACCCCAAGTCTTTTGATTTAGCTAATTCTAGGTTTATAACTGAGTAATATAGATTTGCCGTAAGATTTCTTGCATGACCGTGAGAATCAGAAAGCATGAGTACCACACCAGATGCGTGAGAATTGGCAACCCTGCAAGTCCTCCGGATGGCTTTTACTCAAATATTAGCGGGAAATATTGCCCTCCATGCTGCTCCATAATCGCTCAGTCATTTGTAGACGGTAATTTCTGTGCTATTCGCAATATTCATTACGCTTCAATTAGCAGCAAGCCACTCGTTTTGCAGAATGCGAGGAGGTTAACAGATTTCGGTAGCTTAATGCGTGCAATTTGCGCGCCACTCCTGCTCTCTCTCCACCTCATCTTTAAGCACTTCAAACGTGCAGAGGAATAGGCTTCGAAAGGTGCTGCGTGAAAATGTAACACTTTACACTACTTGGGATCCCTTTGACAGGAAAAGGGTGCTGATCTCCAGCCAGCTGGGGGCGCTGTAGATTTTCAGTAGGCAACAGACTTTTGAAAGGCAATGAAACGTGCTGAATTTGCCGTCGTCTTCATTGTGCTCCGCTACTCATTTTGTTCTTACGACATTACAGTGCTATGCTTATGGATAGGTATGTATAGATGAGATGTCAGACATTATATCCTGTGTCTATCCATAAATGCCTACAGGAAGCTATCAGAGCCAATCTGATTTGAAATTAGCTATCAAATAGGGCAGGACAGCAAGCATTAATGGTTCCATGCGAGGTTTAAGTGTCATGAAATTCGAAAATAAGTATACATGCCTGAAACAGCCTGACCAGTAGCCCTTAATAACATCCACAAAGTCGAACAGACTGAAAAGGGGGATTTAAATTTGAACACATGATTAAATTCAAATGCATTATGGACATAACTCTGCATTCATACTTCAATTTTCATATTTCAGCTTTCTCTCCAAGCAGGAATTTAGTATGTATTGTGTGTTAAGCTGGCTGACCCAGCATTGCATCATATTTTGCATTATTTAGTGCGTCAGTGCAGTGGAGACCCACTGCTGTTCTACATATGGAATGAATATGGAGAGAGAATTCAGCTCTGGGGTGTTTCCCCCTTGAGGGGGGGGGCTTTTCATTAATTAAATCTTCTCATTCAAAGCAATCACCCACACCCGATCATTCCTGACTCAGCATTATATGGCAAGAAACTGAGATCAGTTTAGACCTTCAATACATGTAGGCTTGCAATCAGAATGAGCACTTAGGCCCTCAACTGAAGTACTTTCCTATTGGCATTAATTTAGTGGCCTTTCTCTATAGATGCGTTGTTTTTTGGTTTAGATCAGTGTTTCCCAATCTGGTCTTCAGGGACCCACAGACAGTCCAGGTTTTTGCTCCCTCACAAAAATAGACTGTCTGGCAGGGAGCTCGGAAGAAGCAAAAACATGGACCGGCTGTGAGTTCC